GCTCACAACATGCAGACAAGCTTCCCCTTTAGCTACCAGCCTACACGAATAAACCCCGCACTTCGTCCAACAGGCAGGCAAAACCACAAAACGAAACACATCTTTTGTTGTTGCTGTTTTGTCCACATCTCTGTTTATATATAAAGCGATCAATACCAAAAAAAGCTCCCAGTGGTGAACAGCTGTGGTCAGTGCCACACGACCTGACAGGTATTTATGATGATAAGATGGGTTAGGTGACCTCCAGGGGGATCAAGAACTCCAAAAAAGCCCACATTTTAAAGTGAAAATCATCCTTTATAAACAAATTGCTTATTTTATTGACTAGAAAACTCAGTATGCTTTCTCTGCAATAGGGAGCTTGTAAAAAAGGACCTGGACTTTTCAAACTTTCGGCAACCTGTCCATTTTCCCTCTGCACGTTATTTGTAATACTTCAGGTGAGCATAGGCTACAGAAGTACGATATTTAAAATTGAAAATCATTTCTCAAAGGCATCTGGCCAACTGATGAGAATCAGCAATAGAAATAAAATGGCTCTAACCAAATGCTTATGCGCAGTAGCCATTCTCACAGTAAAATGATATCAACAAGAAAGAAGGCTCACATGAGTCACATGATTGTAGCCTGGGGGCTTTCCTGATGTCACAGAGACAGCACCCCGTCAGCGCTGTTGCTGAGATGCTGCTTACCCATGTCCTGTCCAGCCTTCTCTCCATCGCTGTAAACTCCCCTACTCTCTCTATCCAATTTTGGCTACTCGCGACTCATTTGTACCTGCCCTTTATAGTGGACAACGGGAAAAGGACATATAATATTAAAATATAAATATAATGATAATGAAAAATACTGGCAATATCAACTGAAGAACTGTATATACCCCTGTTACTTCTGTTTCAAATCAGCACGAGCAGAACTAGACAAAAATTTTGTTGTTAAAAACTGCACAATGAAAATGAAAGGAGACATCAGAGAAAATAGTCACTCTCCTGAAATTAAACTATCATCATCCCAAAGGCAGCGGAAATGCTAAATACTGGCTGATTTATAAAATAACAACATGGGTTCAGACTACTTTAAGCAAGTTGCTTCTATTACTTTCTCACATTTCTACTGTAGAATATTCTAGAATTCAATTGAGGACGGCTAAATTCAGAGCATAATGAAATTTTTGATTTATAGATAAACAGAGGATGATTCTTAGAGTAGAAGGTAACAAATGTGGACATTAAATAATACATTCATTGAACTGTTAATTATATGGTTAATAACATTAGCAAGTAGAATATACTAAATGTACACGACTAACTACATCTTCCAATACTTACATTTTTTAAAGCAAGAATAGGTCAGGTAAAAAAATCTAATACTTGTATCTATTAGTAAATTGTTTGATGTTTATAAGTATAAGCTTTCCCAAATAAATTCAAGTATATCTACATATATTAGAGGTGATTTCAAAATTTTATTTACTGAAGCAGCAATAGTTTAGTAAACTTGAGCTAGATAATCTATAAATACATGAAGCACAAGGGACTAGTTAGAGACTAGAAAAAAGCCCAGGGAGAGACTAGCTGCTCTGTTAACATTAGTGCCGTTGTAAACTAGGGCTGGATACACTGATTTTAGAGCAACACATGTGAGAACACTGAAAGTGCCCTCTGATCTAATACATAGAAAACTGTGTGGCCATAGTCTAAACTACTTCACATTTCCTGGTTGGAAGTGTTATTCTAACCTAAGTCTTCACGATTAGCATTCAGAAATAATATATCCTTTTGGGTGAAACACACCTTCAAGTAATTACTTTTATGGAAGTGACCTGGAAAAGCCTGGTGATGAATGGTTTTAAATTAGCCAGCATCCTTAGAGAAAAATACCTCTAAGCATCAGCAAAAATTCACTGATGTTCAGTCTGACAGAAGTGTTAACTTAGTTGTTATACTGAATGTTACGTATGTTTATGTTTTCTAATTTTATTACTATTAAAAGTAAACTATGCTTTCTTATGTTAAAAGAGATTAATACATTAACTAAAATGTTAAATACAGCTATCTCTTATGTTAATCACAAATATTTTTAATACAACTCTTAAGCAAAATAGTATTTTTCTTATAATGCAACACCTTCACATATTTTAAAAACTCTTTAAGTCTTGGTTATAAAGTACCAAAAGCTCTTTAACCGAATACCTACAGTTTGGGGGATTCTGAACTCAGTCAACTTTTCCCCGTAATCTAGGGCCCATAAACATGTTTGTTTACAGAAGAGAACAACAACAAATATAATTGTTCAAGAGGCGTAACCTAGAGCATCTAGCTAAAAATCTTTCATTTCCAGACCCCAGCCACAAATTTGGCTGATGTATAGCATCCTTTAACACATATTTTGCCTAAAACGAAATGGAATGTTTATAAGGAAATACTACTTCTAACAAACAGATCACATCAGTAATCCCACTGCTCGTAACTATTTACTAATGCTCAGCATCATTTCTTATTTTCATGGTTACCCAAAATACCTAACACAATGACTACTAAAGTTACAGCTGTAACTCTGAATAGGAGAGCTTAAAAAAAAAAAAAAGTATAGAAAGAATTATTAATCTATTTTTTTTATGCAGTAGAATCAGGTAAAAAAAAATAAAGTCATCCCAAAACTGAGATTTAAAAAATAATTAAACATTTTTTTTAATACCCATCAAAACACATTAGGTACTTGCTTACTGATGTAACTACAGTAAGTTTCTGTGTTTTGTAATAAATTGGCCATTTTAAGTAACGGTTTTCCTAATTCTAAGGACTTAATTTGCCAAGGTAAGGTTTAAAATAAAATTCATGAAATGGTTTACATTTGTTTATCCTGATCTAATAGAAATTTCTAATTGAGAGTAAAAAAATATAAGAATATACATAAATGAAGCCAAGTACTTATCACACTTATATGAATTAGACGTCGTCATTATAAAGTGGAACACACTGATTTTCATAAACCCATACATTTTTGTACATACACTGCCCCTAAATTCTGGCATGTTCAGGATTAGGCTATACGGTTAATTGTGGCACTGTGGATCTCTAGAGCCAGTATAATTACACTGATTCGCCAAAAGAGGGCGCAGACAGAACACAACTAGACTTCCTGCACTCCCTAGCAAACTGCCAGTTGGTTTCTTTCAAGTCCTGGCACAAGAATTATAAACCCAGTTAGGTGTGCTAACTTGGGAATACTGAAAGTTACAGCATAAGTATATATAGCTATGCTTTAATATAGATTCTTATATAAATAGATTGATATATAGCATTTCTGCCATTCAAACAAAATAAATATATGCCTTGCCTAGTGTATCAATTTATATCCCCATAACTTAGAGGACTCAAGTAGTGGGATCAGGAGCAGGGAGGGTAAAGAGAAAGGAGGGAAGGAAGTGTGCCTAGAAGTGGTGTATCTAAGAAAACAAAAACCACCTTTGGAGTGAGAAACGGACCACCTCCGGCTCTCCTTGCCGAGGCAGAGGCTGGGACTGAGGACCTCCCAGGTGTGTACCTACTGCTACTATATGATGTTTAAATATGTCCAAAAAGCTCCTTGGGGGGGGGTCTACAGTAGGCTTTGCTTTTTCTTAAGGTTCTCATCTGACAGGAATGTATACAGCATAAGGCATTTGACTGAGACCTATTTATATATCTACACGTTACTTCCCTATAACGGTTCTGTCACCAGACCAAAATTTGGTCAGTACGTTAGCTTGCACGAAACTCAACCCAGTTGCCTGACATGAATATACTAATTTTGTGGTTCATTAAGCTCTATAAATATACTTCTCAAATTAAATTTACTATGCATCTTATCAGCACCAATAAATATTTTCATCTGCCAATTCTACATTTTTAAATAATAAAGCACTGCAGTCAGAACATAAAAGACATGATATTTATATCTCTGAGAACAGCTTATTTGATTATTTTAAAAGATATTTACAATTCCTGGAAGAACTAACTACAGTATAGTTAATTGGCTGACAACGGAAATCTTCGGTTTCATGATTTCTCAGGAGTGACACTTTACTCTCAAAACTATCTAAAAGGAAAATATTGATATGCTCCAAGAACAGCAGACCCCTTCAATCTTCTCTTCAAAGACTGTGAGGACATACATTTTCTAAAAAGATATATGGATTTTGCAGTATTCTAATGGAAAAAAATGTAATGGCTGAATTTTTTTCAAAGTCTGCTAAATGTCTTTTCACACAGATCTTCTCTGCTTTCCAAGAGACCATCACCATTAGCCATTTAAATCTGTATAAGCTAATGGTAAATATTGATCTTTATGTTTTCTTATTTTAAGGTCATTTCTTAACATTAGCTACTAACAAACGGTCTCTCAATCCAAATTTATAGTTGGCCAATTAAAATTTCATTTTGATTTGGGTGATTATAGGTACACAAAGGTTACTTATTTTTACTAGCAACTTCCTACAAATAAAATTTCATTATTTAGTTGGTCAATATCTATTACATATAAACCTTCAATGTGTAATTTTAGATGTACTAGTAGGTAAATAAAAGTAAAAAGTATATATATATGTTTTTTAAAAGCACATTATTCCTCTTTACAATGTACATTATATATTATCTAGTACACTAGCATTTTAAAAACATATTCATTCTAATATAACTGTATGAGAAAAGGTACTTGTGGAATTATTGCAAATTCTCTACCCTTTTTGCTCATCAAAATCTTAGTGTAAAATAAAATACATGCCCATGTGGCCAAAAATTCTGCCTTGGAGCAATTATTTTAACAACAACCAATAATTATATCCAGTGCAGGGAAAAGAAGTGGGAAAGTTAATATGGAAAAAAAATTCATCTTTCCTTTAAAATAAGGTAGGTAGTTGGTATTTTATTTTAGTGGCGTTTTTATTTTGTTTTTGGTGAAGAGAAAAACAGAAAACATTAGAGAGCTACTTCTAAGAAAACACTGCTCTTTTTCTGTTGTTTTTTTTTGGTTTTTCATTGTTGTTCAATTTATGCTGCATTAAAAAAAAACCCTGCAGCTCATATAAAAGGCAGTATTGCTATTTAAATTATGATGTATTTGAAAAATAAAACTTACATATAATATAAGGTGTATCAACTTTTGTAAACCCAAAGAATGAAATTCAGATTTGGTTAGTACTGCTTAAGAGTGAACAATTTAAATAAACATCTGAAATTTCCCATGAACTAAAATCGTAACATTGTCAGTACTAAAAAAAATTATGTACAATTATTTCATCTCAATCACTGCCTTTGGGGTCTAATCACAAAAGCATTTAAAGAAATCCCCGTGGAAAGCTAATTTGAAAGTAAACATGCTTTAAAACTTAAATATAGATCTCGTATTAGTCCCACAACAGGATCAAGATCACTATTAAAATAAAGCCTGGGGCACATTATGATGCCTAAGATTGGTGGGTGGATTTTAATTCACTTGAAGACTGTCATAGTTCTATTATCAGAAAACCTGTAACGCATTTCCAGCATGGAGGACCCATCTGTGCCCACCATCCATCTGTTTAGACGTGATTGGCAAAGTGGTAGGGAACTCGCAGTGGTTGCCTCTGCCTGAAAGGAATAAACCACAGGATCTTCCAACGAGTGCCAAAAACTTCTGAGAAGGTCTGCTGCCATGGCTTTCGGGGCCTCGATCTACAGAAGACAGCATTATTAGTGAAAGACAGCACTCCCATGGTGTACTTCAGTCAGCTAAAACAATACAGGTTGGCTGGGGATCCGTTACTGGAATCTGATGAATTGTGTCCCAGCATCACAAATACAGCTTTCCTTTCATTATGGCATGCAGCTGAGTTTTAACTCTGGAGAGCAGATATTGTATCTGTGTCGTCAATCAACCTAGGGTAACTTTTGAAGCAGAGGAGAATCTCAGGATTAACAGAATGTGTGTCAACAACACAGTAGCAAATCTCTTTTGATGTACTTTCGGGACAAATAATTTAACTTACTTTACTTAGACAAGGAACAAGAAGGCTCAGTACTTATTTTGTTTGAAAACTAGCATGGCTTGAAGACCCCTACTGGAAGACTGGATTATGCCTGTCTAGCTCAAGCCTTAGACAGGGCCCCGAGAAAAAGCCAGCATTATGCTATCTTGCCACTACATGCACACGTTTTTCAAATGTGGCCAGCTGTTTCCATTTTTAAAGAAGAGCACTACGGACTTCACATTTATACTTACATTTCTTCACAACAGTTAGACATCTTTTCAATAGATGTTGTATCCTATCAAAAATCAAAGAAAAATTATACTCAGATGGAACAAAGTTATCAAGGCTTTATTCTACAACTACTTTATGAGGCTTTTCATCGTATTTAGAGAATATTCTAAAGATTTAAACAGTTTACATATGGGTACTAAGAATTTTAAATTAACTGCATACATTGCTGAAATCCCCTTGACAAAAACAGAATGAACATTATATCGTGCCAAAAAAAAAAATTATTCAATTACAAAACCTTACAAAAATTGTAGGAGTCTCACTTTATTAAACTATAACCTTTTATTACATTTGCTTTCTTTGATAATTCTTCTAAAAGTCTAGGATTTATTTTTAATTCAACTGTCAGTGAATATGCACGAGAAAATAAATACCAAAATGATGAATTCAAGGCACTCATGAACAGAAAACTGCGAAGAGCCCAAGAAGGCTACTGGTTCTGGACTTCTATAAACAAACACAATCCAACAAGGCAATCTATGCATTTGCCATGTTACAGCATCTATCACTCTGAAAAGGAAAGTGAAACTATTTAACAGAAAGGCAGTATCTTCATAATAATACAATTTCTTCTTATGTGCTTTCTATAAAGCTCTAACACAAATAGGTAAGTGAAACAATTCAACAAAGAGAAGACAGTTTCTAGATATGCTGGTTTCATTTACATTAAGAGAAAAATCCATCGCTAGGCTGAGAAACTGTGCTGGTAAGTAATAGCCAGATAACCAAAACACAAATGACACAATCTTATTTTAGACACTTATTTACATTTTAAACAGACTTCAAAGTACTACAAAAGAAAATATGTTCTTTCAAATATATGAAAAACAGTCAGAGAAGTTTCCCTCCTCTTATCCTCTACTTCAGGAGCTCGCTCACATATGACAGGTGGACTACGCTGTTAGGAAACACGCAAGTGTCTGGGGCGGCCACTCCCATCCCAAGAATTGCTTTGGTTGTGGACCTCTCTTCCAATGATACTAACAAAAAACATTTGACTTTAAAAATCTCTTTATAGCATTTACATCAACAGCTCACAATATTAAGTTCTCAATGTATGAACAGTTGAATAACTATAGTTAGCCCACATATGAGAAAATAAATCTATTTTTTTAGATGACAAAGTCACCAATAGCAGTGTCTCATTTCCCTCTTCCCTGGGAATTTGTGACAAGATTGTAGATTAGCCACGTATTCCATATTCATTAGTTTTCCTATCATGCTTTGAAATTCATGGTATCCAATGACAAGTCTATTTATAATTAACTTTCCTCAGTTCTGTTGCATAATTTCCTCAAAATAACATTTTACTTTGTGACAACACAGTCTGCAAATACATGAGAACGTTGATTATGGGCTTAGTGGAAAGCGGGCCCTCTGCTTCCACATCTGTACGGAAAGTAAATGAAATAATTTGAACAGGTTCTTAGCACTGATGGGCGACACGTTGCCCCAGAACAATCTAGGCAGCTTGTGCAACCAGGCAAAGGAAAAGACAGGACAGAGGTCTGTAAGTGCTCTTAGGACAGGTAAGTAAATGGCCTCAAATCACAGTTGTGGATAATACTTACAAACTGTTTCGGGATAAGGAAGGCGACTACAGAGTCAGACTACTACACCTAGTATTATAGTAAATTTTTACTATGAGTAAGTTTACAATTTGATTAAAATTCTAAGGTACTTATATGAGGCTTAAATAAAAGAATCAACTTCAAAGACTTTGGATTTAGATTTCATGTGGGAAAAGCTTTTATTTCCAAGTGCTTTTGACATCTTTCCAGAATCTGGTTCAAGAAATAAGTAGAATAGTACCTGTTAAGTCATCATAAACAGATGGTTATTCTATCAAAGAATGTGATGTTTACCATGACTTTGTGAACAGGATTTTCGAGGCTAGCCAAAAACAGGCTTGCTTTTTTTTTTTCCCTCTAGAAATAGCAAATGCTTATCTCTCTCTGGAACTCAGCTATCAAGAATACTGTTATAAGAAAAGAAAATGCAATTTGTATTCGAATAGCCAAACGTGGCATAAACACGTCCCTGGCACTTATAGAACGTGCTCAGAACAACACAAGTCAACATGCTATCACATTCGTAAACACAACAGGATCTGTAAACCAGAGGAGGAGAGAGGGTTACTAATGGCAGAACACTGAAAACCACAAGTTAATGCCAAAAGTGCCAAATGAGGTTAAATATATCGTGTGTGTGTGTGTGTGTGTGTGTGTGTGTGTGTGTGTGTGTGTGTTGCAAAGCAGGGAAATGTGGACTATTTTAGAAAAAACAAACTACAAATAATTAAAATGGATTTTGGTGCAGTAATTTCATTCAGCATAAGAGTCAATACCATCAGTGACCATCAAGAAAGGACCAGTAAGATACTTGCCATCTTTGAGGGGTATAAACGTAATTTATAAATACTTAGTTATACATAAAACTCAACTATCCAGAAAAAAAATGCATTTGTCAAAGAATAAGAAACAAATTTTTATAGTATGTTGTCTACAATCAGGGTATCTTACCTCCAGAAAAATATTTACACCATGATGATGGGTTTAATAACCCAAATATCTAAGACTTCTATCAATCTGCATAAATAAGAGATACATGAAAATCTTTTCCTATTTTGTTTTGAGAGAGAGCGAGCCAGCAAGCACATGCAAGTTGGGGGTGGGGGCAGAAGAAGAGGGAGTGGACTCATAAGCAGGCTCCACACCCACGGCAGAGCCAAATGCAGAGCTTGGCCTCAGAGCCCTGAGATCATAACCTCAGCCGGTCAAGAGCTGGACGCTTAACCAACTGAGCCACCCAGGCAGCCCTGCTTTCTTATTTTAAAAATGGAAAGTTTATTTTCTCAAAAAGAATAAAATGGAAATAGCAAGACCTATATGGGCCTTTCCTAGTTTATCAACCAATACTTTATCTTCTCCTGGGGCTGATCTTACCCTAAGAAATGATCTTTAAGGTTCAATCTAAGAAGGTAAGTTAAAGAGAGACTATTTCCTGTTAATCATAGCACACTCTTCTCCTTTGAAGTCAGAACTCACTGTAGTCCTCATATGAAATAATCTGTTCTTTAAGCACTGATCTCCAAAAGAGAACGAGCTATATCTTTTTTTTTTTTTTTAAGATTTTATTTCATTATTTGAGAGAGAGAGAGCATGAGAGGAGAGAGGTCAGTGGGAGAAGCAGACTCCCTGCTGAGCAGGGAGCCCGATGTGGGACTCGATCCTGGGACTCCAGAATCATGACCTGAGCTGAAGGCAGTTGCCTAACCAACTGAGCCACCCAGGCGCCCCAAGAACGAGCTATATCTTTTATCAGAGATCCGGAGTTCACACGAACATTTAATCACTCATGGAACCAAAGTGAGAAGGCAGTAGATCTTACATATATAGTCACTGAAAATCTCTTTCCAAAATAATTACTGTCCTTCTCTTCATCAAGTCACTTCCCAGCTGTATAAAACCTTAGGAAAGTTACTAAAAGTCTGTATCTCAATTTTCAAATAATCATTCCTTACTCATAGATTTTTGTAGGCATTAAATGAATTAATATATGTTAGAGCCCTTAATAATGCCTCAATAAATGTTAGTCCTACTTTTTCCTGATATTGCCTACTATACTTTTCATTGATATTGCTTCCTACTATATATACCCTCTTTTGAGAGGGCTTAGAGATACAATATCTCAATTATATCAGAATATAACTTCTACAAGGTGGATTTTATAATGAAAGATAAAATGCAGAGACTACAGGAGACTACACAGATAAAATCCAATATTCACAAGGGGCATATACTACAGTTGAAAAAATAAGTACTGGGTATATAAACCAAGATCAATAGTCATTTATCCACCTATCGAAAATTTACTAAGGACCTATTGCTATTACTAAGGACACAGTCCTTAGCATCAAGGAGCTTACAGTCTAGTGAAAGCAGTCAAGTACACAAGATAACTGTACAGAAATACACAGAGAATGCCAGGGAGTATGGTTACATACAATAACATATTGTACAAGTAAGCCTTAAGCTAAATATTTGAAACGGCTGGAAACCATGTTCCTAATCAACACTCCAGGTCAACTACTCTTACATTTTTAATACAAACTTATACTTTCAATAAGATTTTTGGTTACCAGTACTGGTAAGATGGTCTAATGTGCTTCTCTGGCTGAGACTTAGGGAGTAACTAATGTATTGACAAAATGTGACAGAGAAGCTTACGAATCATTGTGGGAAAGATTCATAAGTTAACTATAAATACAGGATCTGGTGTTTTTGCCAATCCTACAGTAATGTTTTAAAGTCAGATCAAAAATTCGGGGTGCCTGGGTGGCTCAGTGGGTTAAGCCGCTGCCTTCGGCTCAGGTCATGATCTCAGGGTCCTGGGATCGAGCCCCGCATCGAGCCCCGCATCGGGCTCTCTGCTCAGCGGGGAGCCTGCTTCCTCCTCTCTCTCTGCCTGCCTCTCTGCCTGCTTGTGATCTCTCTCTGTCAAATAAATAAATAAAATCTTTAAAAAAAAAATTTAAAAAAAAATTCATGTAGATTCAGAACATGAGAAAATAAAATGAATGTTTGCGTAAAAATGCAAGTAAAATGAAAACTCATAAATGTTTAGCTTCTTTACCAAAAAAAGCATCCATTTAATCACTAGAGCAATTAGTAATGCTTTGAGAAAATAAAAATGCAGTATTCCTAAGGAAGAACTTCTCACAATAGATTTAAATAGTTTGTAATTACTTGTAATTTTATCAGAAATACAAGGAGGTTATGACCCTGAGCCAGAGAGATGACATAACATAAATTTATTTTTCACAAACGAACACGTTTATGCTGAAGAGCAATCCAATCCCACACAAAATAATTTTGATGCTAGCAGGCATTTTTTAAAAGAATGCTGTTTTATTACCATGCAATGTAACTTAGTATGTACTTAAACTAATTCTTTGGAAAGGGAGACCCTAGGTTCTATAAAGTTCTCTACATATTCAAAGTT